GCAGAGCAGTGGCACAGGCTGCCCAGAGAGGTGGGGGAGTCTCCCACTCTGGAGCCATTCCAAACCCGCCTGGACGCCGTCCTGTGCCACTGCTGGAGGTGCCCCTGCTCTGGCAGGGGTGGCACTGGGGCAGCTCCAGAGGGCCCTTCCAGCCCTGACCATTCCGTGATTCTGTGATTCTCACAGGGAAAAGGCAGTCACAGCCCGGTGCGGCTGGGCAGACGTACAGCACAAGCTGCGCGACACCATCGATAAGGTAAGGACTAAGACCACTTTGCTGTTGCCGCGTTCCCATGCGACCTCACGCCTCTCTACGGGACAGGCAAAGCTGCCGCTCAGCGCTGTCCCTCCTGCGTTCCCGGACAGCTTTTGGCACCGCCAAACCGCAGCCCATGCCGTGCCGGCGGGCAGAGTGACGCTACGCTGCCCACCCCGAGCCCCAGCAAGGCTCTGGGTCAACAGGGCTGGGGACAGGTCCTCGGCCAGCGAGACCAGCGCTCAGAGCTGCTTACCTTGGATATGTAGAAGGCCTCCGTGTGCTTCTTGTAGAGGGCGAGGATGCCCGGAATCAGCTTAGGGAGCTGCTCCTCCAGCTTTTCACTGGGCATCAGGTAACTCATAGGTCCCATAGCCTCCACCACGGCCAGTCTCAGCTGCGGGGAGAGATCGTGTGCTAACAGCGTTGGTCAAACCCTGGACAGACAGGCCCACCACAGCATCGCTCTGCTGCTACGGAGCTGCTCTTCCTGACGCTTCTAACAGCCTCTGAGCAGAGGTGGGGACAGTATTTCGCACGGCTTTGCCAGTCTGAGTGCAAGTGTGCTCAGCAGAGAAGGGGGACGCCTAAATACGTCGCCCAGGCCTGCAGAGGCCATCTCCCAGTTGCAGCAGATGCCCAGACTGTCCCCCGAAGGGCCGCAGAAGCACCCCCTGCTCTGCTTTCTATCAACAGGGACCAAGCGACCCGTTCCGCACGCATTACGTACGGGACAGGAGGACAGAGGGAACCCGGCAGAGCTGCGGGGCACAAGGAGGAAAGCATCCAGCCCCAAATCAGAGCCAGGGGCTTGCTCTTCCGGGGGCCACCTCCTTAGAGAAGGGCACAGCTGAGATGCTGCAAGACCGATGTCGGACCAACAGCCCCCCCTCCGCACCCAGGGGGGTCCCGCCGTGCCCCCCGTCCCCCCACCTTGGCTTCCCGGTGCTGCAGCCAGCTGTTGAAGAGCACTTCGTACGCACTGAAGATCTCGTTTGAGAAGGTGTCCTTCCTGACCGTGGGGTCCGGGGCCTTGTCCAAGTTCGCCAGGTACTCCTGGATGCTCTCGCTGAAGTGCTGCAGAGCTGGGAGACAGATCATGCAGTTAGATTTTTCCATGCGTACCAGACAGTGTTTGTTTTAGCCCCTGCAGAAAGCAGATGGCTGACGTGCTGTTGTACCGGGCAGCATCTCAAAGGGTAGCAGATGCACCAGGGCTCTCCCTGGCGGGCTGAGAGACTCCCCGGGAGGGGCCCGGGCTACCAGGGATGCTGGCGGGCGGCCACGCCAGACACACATGCTGCTTTGCGCTTACCGGGCCAGGGCTGGTATAACCAACCCCAGGGACCCAGCCCCACGGACCCCGGGGAGCCTGGATTTGCCACCAGCTCATTTATTTCTACGCATTCGTTAGTGGCCAAGGAGGCCAAGAGTCGCAGCCTCGCAGCCACACCTCAACGCGTTCATCCGGTCCCCGGGCCAGCGAGCGCTGCGTGTGAGCACACGCTATTTTTCCTCTTGCGAACTGGACCGGCGACGGGAGCGTGTTTGTGTGAAGGTACGCGCGCTGGCTCAGGCACAAGGCTCAGCTGGCCCCAGGGGTTACCCGTCTTCCATCTCCCCCCCGAAGGAAGCCTTTGCCACGGCTTTACGGCGTTCCCTGAGGCTTTACGGGGCTCCTGGGCAGCTCTGCCTAAGCAGCATCCCTGTACCGACCCCACGTTATCACAGCCAAAGGAGGAGGAGGAGAGCCAGGACCCCTCCAGCCCCCCGGCACCGCACACCGAGGCCTCGCGGCAGGGCTTCCACCGCCTCCGCTCCCTCCTCACCGACGGCAGATGTTTATTTCAGGCCGGTAGGATCCGAGATGCTGAGTCACGCAGCGACCTCATACCAAACCCAGATCATTTCAATCACATGCCTCGCCGCAACCCAGCCGGCGGCACGCAAGAGGAGTCCTGCAAGGCTACCTTGCCCGGATGGAGTCTGCTGCTGCCCTCAACGGGGGGCCAGGAACCCCCCAACCCGCTCTCCATGGCTCAGACGGATGGGAAGGGCTCGGAGGGGACGCAGGGATGATGGACCGCCAGCAGAAGGCTCTGATGCTGCACGGTGGAGCCCGTGCTGGTGAGAAACCATGCACAGCAGGAGGGGTCTGGCTTCTCTTTGGGCAGAAACTCCGAATTCCCACCAATGCCCGCCTCGGAGGGGTGAGGAAGGTCCCCAGCTCACCCTCAGTCACACCCAGCACCTTTCTGGAGCCAGGAGCGAAGTCTAGACCCCATTGTCACTCCATCTCCAAGCTGGAGTCAAAACACCCTTGTTTAGGGTAAGTCCTCCTAAACTTTGTCAAGAAGTTTGTCTTGACAACAGGTGAACACATCTAACCAAAAACATCACCTGAAAGTCCTCCCCCAGCGTAAAGCCAGGTGGACGTGAGGGCAATGGGCAATGTTATGCCTGGATTTACTTTTTTGTTTGTTTTTTTTTAAACAAAAAAAAGCCTGTAGCCAGGAGCCGGGCGGCAAGAGCCACTCCAGCCAGTAAGGTTTTAGGACACAGCTGGGCAGCTCATTCCCTTCCCTACAGTGGGGCCACTGTGGCAGCACCACGGTACCTTGCTGACTCCTGCGGAGTGGTAAAGCCAGGACTGCGCCAGCCCAGGATCACGTCCCCAAATCCACCTCTCCATCCCCACCTTCAGCCCAGGATCACGTCCCCAAATCCACCTCTCCATCCCCACCTTCAGCCCAGGATCACGTCCCCAAATCCACCTCTCCATCCCCACCTTCAGCCCAGGATCACGTCCCCAAATCCACCTCTCCATCCCCACCTTCAGCCCAGGATCACGTCCCCAAATCCACCTCTCCATCCCCACCTTCAGCCCAGGATCACGTCCCCAAATCCACCTCTCCATCCCCACCTTCAGCCCAGGATCACGTCCCCAAATCCACCTCTCCATCCCCACCTTCAGCCCAGATGAAGCTCCATGTAATGAACCTGTAGCCTGACACCTACCTACCATTTTCCTTCTGCCCTGCGCCACCCTGGAACAGCAAAACCACCCCAAAAAGACCTGCCTGCATGACACGATTGTGCTGACGCCAGGAGTTACCTCATCTGCCTTTCAGTTCTTGAAAAGTTTGGCAAAAAATTATAGAGAAACCACGCGGAGCCGGAAATCCAGCACACCGCCTTCCGAGTCTTGCAGGCAGGTGAACGCCGCTGGCAGCAGGCAGCTGCCGGAGAGGGGACGTGCCCTCCTGGCAGCCCGACATCCATGCTGTGGCCTCCTCACGCTTTCGGGAAGGTGCGGCGAGTCACGTCTGCCCATGCCCCAGCCCTCAGCCCGGCTTTCCGCACGCTCCAAGGTCAGCGGTGGACAGGAGCGGCCGCGAGGGGCTGACCGTGGCCAGGGATCAGGTTATGGGGTCAGGGCAAGACCTGCTCCAGACCCGCATGGGGCTGCTTAAAGAGGGTCATTCTTTCCCCACTGCTCCCCAGCACAGGCAGCGCTTTGGGGGATTCACCTGCTTTAGGATATGGGTTAAGAGGTTGCAAGTACTCTGCAAGAGCAACAAAACCGACTGTGCCATGGCGGCAGCAGCGACAAGATCGTTTTGGGAGGAACACGTATGGAGCCAGGACGTCACGCTTCTCAGGCCCGAGCAGAGTGCGGAGCAGAAAGCCAAAAGAAGGGATTGGTGGCAGTGATGAAAGAGAAAGAGCTGCTGACAGTGGAAGGCTGCTCTGGGAAGAGCCACCTGAACCTCAGTTCTGAGTTTTACCATCCCTACGGACTGCACTGGTCCTCCCAACCATGCCTGAGCAGAAGGAACCCTTATCCTACGCATGATCCCTTCTACGATCCCTTCTGGAGCCCCTCTGCTGGGAGGACAGGCTGGGAGAGTTGGGGGGTTCAGCCTGGAGAAGAGAAGGCTCCGCGCAGACCTCAGAGCCCCTTCCAGTGCCTAAAGGGACTCCAGGAGAGCTGGGGAGGGACTCTGCATCAGGGAGGGGAGCCATGGGACCAGGGGGAACAGTTTGACACTGACAGAGGGGGGATTTAGGTGAGATCTGAGGAGGAAATTCTCTCCTGTGAGGGTGGTGGGACACTGGCGCAGGTTGCCCCGAGAAGCTGTGGCTGCCCCATCCCTGGAGGTGTTCAAGGCCAGGTTGGACGGGGCTCTGAGCAACCTGGGCTGGTGGGAGGTGTCCCTGCCCAGGGCAGGGGGGGGCTCGATGGCCTTTGAAGGTCCCTTCAACCCAAACCATTCGGTGATTCTGTGATCTATGGTTCTCCGCAGGGCCAGGCACCGCCGATAAGCCATGTCGGACAGGAATAGTGCAGACCTCCCTCCTGTGAACACGCAGGCTGCTGCTACCTGCCATCGCCCGTGGCCAGCCTCAACTACCCGAGCTGCCAACACCACCCACCCCCACGGCTCAGCCAGCGCAGGGGCTTGCCTGTAGTTGATGGAAGGAGGATGCTGCCTATTCACGGAGGCCACCTGCCCTTGGCTTTGGCTTTCTGAGAACACACCTCTACGGAAACAGCTCGAGAGCTGAACATTCGCAACATAACAGACCGAGAGCTCCGAAGGTCGAAGCAACCCTTCAAGTCCGACCATGTAAGACTGTTGCTGGACGGGAGGAGATCCCAGGAACAAGTCCAGACACAAACATTACCATTTCCAGCAGAAATAGATGTTGCTGAATGCAGTCCTACACCCACCGCTGCAGTTTACAGGGCTGCTCCCACTCATCCCGTTCACTCCTCCACACACAGAGCCACATCAGCGTTCCCAGGCCTTGGACATCAGTATCAGCAAGAGATAACAGCACCAGTGGTGCGCTCCAGCAGCTCCCGCAGGATCTGTCAGAGCCCTCGAACCCGCACTCCCTCAGAACACCTTTTCTTTTTGCCCAGCTATGGAAAGAAAACCACAAACCCTGAGGATCCTCTGCTAGACACCAACAAGGCTGTCATGTTGTGTCCACCTGGGGCTGGGCATCGTCCTGCCGTCCGAGATGCAGACGCTATTGCCCCACACTTCGGAGAGCATCTCACTGGTGAACGAACACAAAGCAACTCGGGCCAAGAGCAACACCACGATGGGCCACCATGTCCGGGTGAAGGTGGATCAGGTCCGGCCAGCAGGGCAAGGTGGGGACTGTGCCCCTCTGCTGCGCTCTGCTTTGCTCTGCTCTGGGGAGACCCCCCTGCAGTGCTGCCTCCAGCTCGGGGGCCTCAGCACAGGAGAGACATGGACCTGGTGGAGCGGGGCCAGAGGAGGCCCCGGAGATGCTGGGAGGGCTGGAGCCCCTCTGCTGGGAGAGTTGGGGGGTTCAGCCTGGAGAAGAGAAGGCTCCGCGCAGACCTCAGAGCCCCTTCCAGTGCCTAAAGGGGCTCCAGGAGAGCTGGGGAGGGACTCTGCATCAGGGAGGGCAGCCATGGAATCATAGAATTGTCTAGGTTGGAAGAGACCCTGGGGATCATCGAGTCCAACCCTCTACCCTACTCTACAAAGTTCTCCTCTACGCCCCGAGAAGCTGTGGCTGCCCCATCCCTGGAGGTGTTCAAGGCCAGGTTGGACGGGGCTCTGAGCAACCTGGGCTGGTGGGAGGTGTCCCTGCCCAGGGCAGGGGGGGGACTCGGTGGCCTTTAAAGATCCCTTCCAGCCCAAATCATTGGGTGGTTCTATGACAACCGAGTCAGCTGTGTGTCAGCTGTGTAAGCGGTGGTACTTCTGCATCAAACCCCGTTGCACAAGCAGTGGCTTTCAGCCAGCCCAGGGCTGGAGGAAGGCATCACGAGAAGGGAACCCCGTGACATCCTGCCAGCCCACCAGAAGTGCCACATCCTGACACCAGTGTGTGAAAATTACAGAAGTGCCTTGGACGAGAGCTGGCCTGGCACCGCCGCTGCACCCCTGCCCCCTCACAATCCCCACCAGCGCTAACGCTTGCGCTGTTGCAAGGTGCCAAGTTCACGGTCTTAACAAAGGGACAGCTTGGTGTGTAAGAGGGTCTCACATCCCTCCTTCCTTCCCCATCCCACCAGGTCGGTCACCTCCACCTGAGCTGGGATGGCTCTGGAGCATCCCTGTCCTCCTTGCCAGAGGAGAAAGTGAAAAGCACCAGTATTCACTGGGCTACAAAATGGGAGTGAGAGGGATCAGATCAGAGATGAAGGAGGACTTTTGCCGGATCCCAGTGACCTAGAGTTGACAACGATCCATCCCTCCCCAGAGCCAGCCAGCTCCCAGACATTGAGGAAAGGTCCATCCAAGCCAGCTCTCCAGCCCCCATCCACAAGGGAAAAAGTCTCCCACAACATATCTAAAATCACTGCAGTCTCAGAAGATGCAGAAAAACCTTACCGTAGCAGAAGACAGACTTCATGTGGTCCTGTTTGGCCATTCCCAGCATGGGCAGCATCGTCCCGAGGATGGAGTTGAGAAAAGGCACCATTCCGAACACTGGGAAGGAAGCAGGAGAGGTTCACTCGCAGCAAACACACAAGCGCCGCTCTGCAGCCGCCCCAGCCTGCGCAGGACACAGACCCCGCAGCATTGCACGGGCACCCAAAGAAACCCAGCTTGCCGCAGCCAGGAGCCCGATTTTGCCACACAGGAGATGCCGACAGCCCCAGGTGGGAGCTGGCGACCCCGGCACGCAGCAGAGACAGCTCTGGCACGGCAGCAGCTCGCAGTCCTCCCAGCCCCCGAAGTTCACAACTGTTTCTCGGAGTCGGTGAGCTACAGGCTACGTCCCACTTGCTGCCGGCACCATTCCACAGCCAGACTTCTTTTCAGAGGTCCCGTCCTAGAACTGTCATTTTTAAACTTGGTCTCTCTGGAATGGCTGGAGAGCA